TCTGTCTGTCTGTATGTCTGTCTATCTATCTATCTATCTATCTATCTATCTGTCTGTCTGTCTGTCTGTCTATCATCTATCTGTCTGTCTATCTATCTATCTATCTATCTGTCTGTCTGTCTGTCTGCCTGTCATCTATCTGTCTGTCTATCTATCTATCTATCTATCTATCTATCTGTCTGTCTATCTATCGTCCGTCCGTCTATCATCTATCTATCTATCAAATCATGCTAGCAATATGCTAATTCATGCTCGCAACATTGGATTTAGCTAGTTTTCGCTAAATGAACTGGTTTTAGCTGTTTTTGCTGGTTTTAGCTGTTTTTACTGGTTTTAGCTGGTTTTCACTTAATGAACTGGTTTTAACTTTTTAACAGGTTTTCGCTAAGTTAACTGGTTTTAGCTGTTTTTTGCTAAATGAAGTAGTTTTAGCTGGTTTTAGCAGGTTTTTGCTAAATTAACTGGTTTTAGCTTTTTTTTAGCTGGTTTTCGCTAAATGATCTTTTTTTTTTTACTTTTTAACAGGTCATTTAAAACATCACTTTTTTCACTAAACAACATTCACTCACTTTATTTACCTTTAGCTAAAACCAATTAAAACCAGCTGCAAGTTAGCAAGTTTTACCCTCTCTGTTTTTCTGATTGACTGTATTGCCTTCAAAACATTCAAACTTTAATTTTTAAAACTTTTTCAAACTTTCTGGCTAGGCTTTTTCAAGCTCACTTAAAGTTTGTCTTCAAACTTTTTTTTTTTTTTTTAAATCTAGTTAAGTAGTAACATTTAAATACGTTAGACAAACATCCAACTAAACTGTTTCAGAAAAACAGTCTATGAACAATGTATAAATAATGTTTTGAGAACATTATTAAAAACCAGATAATGTTGAACAAATGTTCTACTAATGTTAATGGAATAGCATTTGTTCGTAACATTGAGAGAACCTTTGAAAACGTTTTTGCCAAAATCTGCTGAGAACTTTCCCCGCTAGCTGAGTTTCTATGTTTTGTTCCTTAGGTTTTATGATTAGGCAGAACAAAAAAAGTCAATAATTATAAATGTTATTAATATTATTTGATTGTTTGTTTTATTTATAATTGGAATTTATATTAATTATATCATTCTTATTTATTCGATTTCTATATATTAGAAATCATTTCATAAATATGTTCATTTCATAAATGAAGGACGCCCTCATTTGCTTTCTCTCACTTTCTTTACTGCGGATCAAATCCGGGGCTTAGCATTTCCTTTCACAGCAACAAGCGATGTTTAACTGATATAGAGGAACACTTGTTTAAAAGTTCAGGGTCCTTTGGGAAAGAAATGAATCCTTTTCAGCAAGCATGCATCAAATTGATGAAAAAGTGTCAGTAAAGACCTTTTCATTGTTATGAAAGATTTCTATTTCACATAAATACTGTTGCTTTTCAATACGTCAAAAGATCCTGAAAAAATTGAATTATGATTTCCAAAAAAAAAAATACAGTACAACTGAACAAAATTTGAACACTGATAATAAAAATGAACATTTCTTTAGCAGTAAGTCAGCATATTAGTATGATTTCTGAAGATCATGTGAATTATAGTATTGAATATAATTACAGATATTTGATTGGGAATCTTTTCGGTTTCTCTGCTCATCTTTGTGAAAGACTCTTTAGTCTCTTGAAACTGTAAAATCTCTCTCTCTCTCTCTCTCTCTCTGTTGTCAGTAACTAGGGAACACACAGCCCTGTTTATATTTATAAATAGGGCTATACAGGCATCTAGTGGCTACATTACAAATTATTTTTTAAATCTGCCAAATTTCAATGGATGTTAAGTACTTTTGCTCAATTTTTAACTTAAATACTGCAATAACTAAAAAAAAAGTATAAAACAGACATACTGTATAATGACAGCGAGGTTTGCTTGACTTAGAAAATTCTGCCTTAAAGGGATAGTTCACCCAAAAATGAAAATTCTGTCATTAATTACTCCCCCTCATGTCGTTTCAAACCTGTAAGACCTTTGTTCATCTTCGGAACACAAATTATAGAGGAATCAGAAAGTTTTTTTTAACATTGACAAAACAGGTAACATTAAGGTCCACTGAAGTGCCTTGAAATGCGCAGCGTTATTCTGTGTGGTGTGTGCTGCGGCTGCCTAATCACTTTCACAAATGCATGCCGCAAAATAAAGATAACATGAAAATATATATATAAAATACCAAAAAACTTGGTTATTGGTTACTATAGTTAAACCATGGTAAAAACAACATGTTTTGCTACACTAACCATAGTTTAACCATGGTATTTGTAGTAAAACTGTGGTTATAGGCTACAATT